AGTTGCATAGGAATGCTCCCCCTCCCCCCCCAGAGCTGACCATGGCCCCTTCCTGCTCCCCCCTGCCCAGCTGGGCAGCAACCCCAGTCCTGCCCAACTCTCTCCCTCCCTATGGAGGCCTCAATCCCCTCTCCCTCAACTTACCTGCAGGAGCTACTATCCAAGCTGCCTGGGGTCATGTACATGCATATAGTGCCCCCTTCCTGACTGCTCTCCTCCCACTCCCTCCCAGCCCCCTGCAGGCTGGTATTCTGCCAGCCTGCAGAGGGCTCATCACAAAACTGCAAAATCCATGGGTATCTCTGGTAAAATGAGAAATCCACATTTGCCTCCAGTAAAATCCGTAGTTTACTCTGTTCTTCCATGGGAAACAGAAAACCTGGATCCCCACTTATTACTCCATCACTACGGATGCATGCTTCTCCAACCTGAAATAACCAAGTGGTCAGCTATCTTAAAAGTCAGATCACCAGAAAAAACCTAGAGGGCAGATGTGCTGGAAGCCACAGTTGAGCAGGTTCCCTAACAACTGAGAAACAGGTAAAAGGAAGTGATTGAAGAGGTTGTGAGAATGAGAAAAGCCCAATAGTGGAAGCAGGAATAGAAGCAGATACATGTGTGAATGGGGCTGAGTAAGCAATAGTACCGAGTTGTTTCTACAGTTATTAAAAACGTAAACATTCATGTTAGCCATAGAATAAATTAAATACACTGCACACTGACCTTCATTCCAAACTCACCCTTTATTCATATACCACTTGGAGCTCCATGTCATAAATCCACAGACAGTAATTAAAGAATGCCACTCACGCCCAGTGAGATTGTTTCTTTTAATTATAGCCCCCTTTGATGTGCTGGGCTTAAAACCAATATTCAAAAGTGAATCTTGTTGCTTTGTTATGCCCAATATCCAGCCTCTCAGTTTCATGAGCCAGCATGAATAACTTGAGCGTTTATATTCCTAGTTAGTACATTAAGACAAGCAGTTTAATTTTAGTGGGTACGTGTGAAGTTTGTAGCTGACTCACTGCCACCAGCATTCCACATTAACCTATAAAGGCATCTTTCATACATTTGCAAGTGCCTGAACAATTAAACTCAATAAAACATTCTTTCATCTCCATTTAGGTTGCTATTTCGTTATACATGGAGTTTTCACGTAAAAAACAAATTTCAACCCTTCAAGGGTTAAAGTCCCTCTTGGCACATACCTGCAGCAGGATCTGCATTAGAGATGACAAAGAAGTCTATCACCCGTGACGTGAAGTCAAAGGCAATCTGTTGGCTGCCATGGATAACAGAGATGCTGTGCCGATCACCATAGCTAGCTCGGGGCATCCCTCCTTGGAATATAATGTACGGAAGCCTTAAAAAGACAGACAGAGTTGAGTTTACTCCATAGGTTTGCAATGAAGTAGTTTGAGTCTAAGGTGAAGTTACGCATTACACTTCAATCATTCAGTTTGTCTAATACAGGGGCAGGCAAAGTCCAGCCTACAGACCAGATTCAGCCTGCAGAGGACTCCATTTCCCAGCAGCCCCTGCCTGTGTTGCTGTGGCCGATTTCCAGAGAGACCCCAGGAGAGGCAGGGCCATGACAGCAGCTCCTCACCCAGGCAGGCCCCAGCTCTGGACCACACGGTCACTGCCACAAAATCCCAGCCTCAGCTCCAGAGCAGCTCCCCACCCAGCCACACCCACACACTGCCAGCACTGCTTGGGCCTGTCTCTATAGAAACCCTGGCCCAGTACCCTCGTGGCTCCGCTGCTCCTGGAGTCTCCATGGAAACTGGCTGCAGCAATGCAGGCAGGGGCTGCTGAGAAATGGAGTCTGGCCACTGGCCAGATCTGCCATTTTGCCCACCCTTGGTCCAATAGGTAGGACAATGGATTTGTATGGGATGGTTTAGATGGGAATGATCCCATGTCAGGCATGGGGTTGGACTAGATGACCTCTCAGGGTCCCTTCCAGCCCTACTTTTTTATGGTTCTATGAAATCTGTGGAATGCTAAGCAATTTTAGAGTTCACATGTTATGGATTAGTACCGTTTTTTGCCTTCACAGCTCTGACTTCCTGCTAGAGGGTTGGTGAATAGGGACATGGCTAGGAAACACTACACCTATGCTCTACCAGTAGGGCAGAGGCAAAATATTGGACGTGGTACATCCTGGGATACTGGAGGACTGCAAATTGCTCATTTCATCTCCATGGGACACACTGAAAGTAGCCTACCGGCAGCTAGGTAGCATGGCCCAGTTAACCCTCACCTGATGTGGCATAACTGAGATGCTCAGAGGACACTTAGCATGAGTTAAGGAGCTTTAACAGGCAGATGCTCATATTTTAAAGTGCTCTTAGTATGGCTTAAGCATAACATGCAACTTCACCCCAATGAGCTGAATTAATATGATAGAAGTTTTCTTGCTGCCTAGTGTTATTCTAAATAAGCTGCCTGTGTGAGGTCAGCATTGCCAGCAACAGATCGCAATAACTTGTGTCCCAAGGATTTCTCCCACCCACCATGCACAGGAGATGAACAACCCAGAACCTACCCATTTTTTGTCACCTGCCAGTAAATCTTGGAAATGGCCTTGCAAGGGAAGGGACCTAGGATGAGAAAGTTACCACAAGTGAAAGGTTTATCTTGAAGTGTGTAAATAGGTGAAAACAACTGGAAATTGAAGGCCTGTTTCAATTATTGTTCTGTAGTTGGCACTGTTCATAAAAAAAAAAAATCGCACTGATTATGGCCACAGTAGTTACAGCATGTGAAGCAATTCCACCTTACTCGGCTGAGTTGTGACAAACACTGCACTTCCCCTAGAAAGTGCCATTTCCAGCAATCCAAGAATACCACTCAGTGCAAACAAGGCTGGCGCTCAAATGGAAGTTCCGAATTCACTGCTGATGAAAGTACCATTGAGCATATCTGGCTACCAGAGGCTACAAAAACTGCAGAAGAAGTCATCTTAGCCCCAGAAATGCCTCCACATTTCCATCAATACATTCTCATTAATCAAAAAATCAATACTGAGTTTTGCAAACCAAGGTTAGACCAATGTAGCTTTTCTAACAGCAGAAGGAAGAGGACACTCCCTTCAGAGTTTCAGCTAATGGGAAGCACTACTTCAGTGCTCAAAAACCAAAAAGATCTTGAAAGGAATTCAGTGAATTCATCAGTTACAGAAGAAGTCAAGGGAAACCTGCTGTAGAAGTGGACATCTGAATCACAGCAAGTGCTAAAGCTAAAAATAATTAACGTCTTTCTTAAGAAGGCAGGCTTTTTGTGCCCAGACTTTTTCCTCTGTGTTCAGTACAGACTGAAAAGTAGATATCTAATTTCAACAACCTTCAAAATCCAGTGTCATCGCTATTTGAGCAGTTGCCAGTTGAAGGGTTTATGGTCCACCAAGGAGAAAACTCTGTGGTGAAGCATTGCAAGTACCTACCAGGGAGACCTGCATTCAAAAGACCTTTCAAGGGCTCAAAATGAGCTGAAGATCGTTAAAACAAAAGCCAGCCCATGCCTCAGTAAAGGGAAGCACATGCACATATTTCCATAGTTGCATACTGACCATAAGGCACTTTACTTTCCAGGGGTTCAGGCTGCCTGTTATCATTGGATACTGGCCACTGGGCGTAACTTCCATCATAATGGCAGCTAACAAACTGACGACCGTCTCTTTGCCAAAAGACGTTCTCCAATTGCTAGGAAGGAAGAGACAGAACTACTGAACTCCAGAGAACTGTTAACCCCTCCCAAACCAATATCTTAATGAAACAAGAAACTAGACAGGCTCTCCCTGGATCTGCTCACCTAGAGAGACCTCTTGAGAGAGGCTGTTTCCCCTCCCCTATTCCAATGGATTTCAACCTGAATTCATACCTGACTGCCCAAGAAGTGGTGTGTTGCTTTGTTACTCTGCAGGTCCCAGAGGATAATGAGTCCCCGACTGTACCCAATCAGAATCTGGTTAGGGTTTCTAGGATGCTCCTGTATGGCTTCCACCAATTCACACGGCCGTCTGCTAGAGTAATCCTCTGGCACCCTAGGGGAAGCAGAGAAAGTTGATTTGTAGTGCAGTTGAGCAAAACTGCAATGCCCACAGCACAGGTATGAGAATGAGCCACAGGAAAGTAAAAAAATGTTCAAACATGATGAGAGCAAGTACTGCGTCTTTCCAAGCATCCTTCAGACAGCAGAGAATCTTCTGGGGTATCAAGCAGAGTTATTTTAGGACTACCAAGCCTAAAGACACCTAGTCCTGTGATCAGAAAGAAGTCTGAGGTGTATAACAGTCTCCTACAGGCCCCCAAAAGTGGGGAGAAAAGAGTTGCATCATGTCCAGTCCCTCTGCCAGAGTAAGGAAAAGGAAGTAGCGACACAGATCCATGAGCTGAACCTGATAAGCCCTTAAGGCCAGCTGCCCAAGTATGAGGCCAGTTCTGGAAGCACTGCATTCCATAAAAACCAATTTTTTTTTTTATTTTTTTTTACCAGGTCAGAAGTTAATTATGGAGACCGAAAAAAAGGCAAGACAAAATTTTCCTAAAGTATCCCATTTTAGTAGTCCTGCTGATTCGAAGTTTCAGTAGATAAAGAAGGCTAGCAATTTTGCCCACTGCCTACACATACAAATGGGTTAAATTAGTACAGTCTCAAAAATGAATTTATTTGTTGTTAAATAATATCCACAGTCATGAGAGTGAGCACTTTTAGAAAGGCAAGAGTTTTTACAGACAAGCTGCCACACTTCCATGCCACCGATACTGTGGCAGCCTTGGGCTATTCCTGAACAGAAGCGATCAACTGTTTGTCTGATGCAGGCCGATTAAAGACAAGACTGATTCACTTTCATGACAGTCAAGCAGGAGGATTTTCTTCAGCAGCATCCAACTGAAGCACGCTGCAAATTTCAACGTAGGCTCTAATGTACAAGCTAAAATAGGAATTTGTTTAAATACGCCACACTACACTCCCAACTGTAGGTGGAAAATCCCATTGGTCAGTATAGCCATTTGCTTACCACTGCAGCACTGCCTCAGAGCTGATGGTCCTGTCCTCCAGCACTCTGAAGGAGGGGAGCTCCACCACAAAGATGTTACCACTTTCTGTACCAAGGTACAAAACTTCCCGAGCAGAATGTGGAAGGACAACAGTGATCTGGGTAGCACTTGGAGAAGACCTATGGATGCAGGAAGATTCAATTAAACTATCAAAGACGAGCCGCTAGAGTTGAGCCAACTCCAAAGAGCCCCGAGTGAGAGAGAGCTGGCACCTGCTTCATCGTTAACCATTTACAACAGCTTTGGTAAGTACTTTGCTGGGAGAATGGAGCTTCAAGCCAGGATTTTTTGAAGAATCCCAGCTTCAATATAAAAATTGCCAAAAGGCTCCTATATGCATCAGTAATAAACAGAAAGCTCCATGCATTAGTGACAAAACAACCGACCTAGCTACCCAAAAACACTGGAAATAAGTTGCCCAACCTGGAACCATTAGCATATTTTAAAAGGATGCAGTCAACAATTCAAATCCTTATAAGAAAACTTAAAGCTCATTAAACAGGAATAAGCCAAAACAAATTGATCCATTTAAACCTGGCTTATAAAAATGTACAGAGATTTAACTCAATTAAATTTTTAAAAAAAAGTCAAGCCTTTAAACTGGTAAATGCCGGACATGGACCAGGTGGCCAAAGTCATTTCTTACCCCTCCTTCCTACCCACCCCAAAACCAGCTTATAAAGCCAATGCTAGCACGTTACCCAGGGGGCCCTCGCAGTGTGAAGCGTTGTTCCTCTTGCAGCTCAGATGTCCCACTGCGCTGCTTCAGGTTCCAGAGGTGCAAACTGTTATCATCCAGCAGTGTCACCAGCTGGCACTAAGGACAGGCAATCACAAAGAAAGAATCCTATTTAAATACAGCACAATACATCTAGCAATAAATCACTGCTGCTCAGCAGCTATTTCAGCCAAGGCAGATTCAGGGCCCAGCCAGTTATTTATGGCAGTAAGATATTCAGCTAAGTTAGGGCAGAGCTCCACTGACTCTAAACAGTTTGGAACCTTTGAACTACAGCACAGTGGCCTTCAGGCTTAAAAGCCCTAGCAGCCTGGCTTCTGTATCTGATATGCCAGCATGCAGGGTAGAAAGGCTTAAGACCCCTAAAAGATGCTATATCCATAGCACTTTCAGGCAGGCAGGATTATGTCATGCAACCTGTTTCAAAGCTATGCTGCAACTAAGCACACAGTATTTCCATTCCTCATGGTTTGCTGGAACACACCCCCTCTCCACACCCCTGCGTTGGGAGTTGCCGATGTATTCTACTATCCCATTCATCTTGCATTCTTCATGTCCAACTTCATTCTGAAGAGCTGTGTCAGAAGCCCTTTATGAGCCCAACCCTGCCGGCTGCACATTCAAATCCAAGCATTTTGTCTGCCAAAGCCACACCTGGTACAACACTCCCCATGGGTATTCCATTCCAGCTAACATCACTTAGGTTTTAACTGCCATCCAAATCTAGCCAGAGAGTTAACTCCCTCTAATACAACAGTCACGCCTCCAAACTGGCAGATTCAGGATAGAAGGCTGTAAAATGACTGATCAGTACACTCAGCCAGTCAGGGTAGGAAGCAATTAGAGCAGGGGTCAGCAATCTCTGACAGGTTATCCTGTGGAGGCATTTTGCTTGGCACATGCACCTACACCAACACCTTACAAGTCAAGGTTGTGGGTGTTTTTGGCACTCTAACCCAAAAAACATTGCTGACCTCTGGCTTAAAGTCACCAAGCACTGAAGAAATTTTACTTTCCCACATTTAGTGGAAGAGCCATACTGCGAGAGAGGAAAAGGAAGGAAGCCTAGAAATGGCTACATTAGCCAGGCCATTTTGAGCTGGGGAAGGAGGGAACTTACTGAACAACAGCTGAAGAAGATGGTGCTCCATGTTCTGCAGAGTTAAAAATTGATTGATCCCACTTCAGGGAGGCAGACTGCAATATGGAAAGTCTCTTCAGATGGTCTTTGGCAGCAACAACTGTTATCTTAATCTTGCTGCCACTATGGCCAGAAGCTGGCCAAGATCAAGAGACCCGACAGACATGAATTTTAACGTGTTCACAACAACAGATATAATTTACGGCGTGATGGACTAGAAAGGGGAAGCCTGTCACAGACCAGGTAGTACTAGGGCAGTCATTATATAGAGCTACGGCTTCTAGCTGTCCAGGTTTTGTGGAGAGGTCAGCTACTCCAGTATGTTTCAAACCAAACAGGTTTTCAAAAGTAGCTTACTTGCCTCTTGGAGAAATGCAAATTCCACTCACCTGGCCTGGTATAAAGTGCATCTGCAAAACAGTGTTATTTTCTTCATGTAAGCCCATGAACTCCACTCCAGGGGCTCCATATCTGAGAAGCTGGTTAAGGATCGAGAGTAGCCACAACCAGAATCATTTGATTAGCAGTTTGCTAGCAAATGAGATGGAAAAACATGAGTTAGAAACCAAGTGGGAGCACTGCTCATGCAGGCTTTTTGAATCCGTGCACGTGCAGGCAGCTGCAGGAAGCCTGCGCAGGAGGCTTAACTGGCACTTTAGGCATAAGCAGAAAAAAAGGTGCTTCAACCCCTTTTTTCCCTTAAACATGTTTAGTGGTTTCCCAGACACTACAATCCCTGCTTAACTAATTTGTAACCAGGAGACAGATGGCTAACGCCTGCATGCAGAGCTCAGCCTCACTGAACACAAATAGTGCTGGAAATGATTAAGTGAGCATGAACAGCTCCAACTTTTCCTTTCTGGGATGGAGCAAGACTCCTCCTTCCCTACATGCGCAGTTGGCCCCGTGCCACAGGAATCGCCTCTGAAAGCCTCTGTGTCCGTGCATGTGCTACCAGGGTGGATATAAGAAACTGTTGCCAAGCCATTTTATTTCTGATCCTATACATAAGGACTGTAGGGTCCAGGGTGAATGTTAGTTCAGGAGACTGAACACATTTATAGGTTAAACGTCAACCTTTTAATGCAGTACTCTTGAAGAGGCACCTTTCCTCACACTAGGATATTTAGACAGCCTTGGAATTTATGATAGGAGGGATTAGACTGAGGCCAGAAGGACCACTGAAATTCAGTCTGACCTCACGTAACAGGGGTCAATAGCCTCACGTAATCATTTTTGCATTAAGCCCACAACTTCTGCTTGAACTGCAGCTTAACATGTTGCTGTATATACAGTCCTGATCAGACTTCAGTTGGAGTCGCCACGTTACAACAATTTACTGAGGCACATAGTTACCCACACTTAACAGTTTTGCGCCTAATTTCTAGCCTGCATTTGTCCAGTCTTAACTTCTAATAATTAGATCCCATTCCTAATAATTAGATCCCATTTGGCCACAGGACCAAATTTTATTCAAGAAACTCTGCCATTCCAGCGTTCTAGGCAGATAGATGTAAGCCAACAGGTTTCTGACAAATTGAGATGCGCGATAAATTTTCTGTCACGCTTTCTAATCTTTCAGCACCTTTTGAAAAACAAATGTTCAGGTGCTCTGGACTCAGTAGTATAAAGGGCAAGAACTTGGTTTTATCAAGATACTGTTCAGAAATAATACCCCACTCGCACAGTACCGATTGGGTATTTGCAAGAGAGAAAAAGCTGGTTTTGCAAGCCTCTCATGGTTCAGTTCCATTCAACTCCAAGGTATTTCTTGCTAAAAGAAATTTGGTTGCTACAGCTCTTTAAGCACTTCCATACAAATGTCTTATATGACTACACACGTACATAAGAATATCTTTTAAAAAATAGCTTGTTCCATATACTTTACCCATTTCTGAAGCAAATGCTACTTTCTACTTCAGACAGAACATAACCTGATGCTGCAAGGAAGTCTGGCTCAAATCTTTAAAAAGGATACAGTTTGATGGCTCCTGATCGTGTCCCAATGGCCATAAGATGAAGGGAAGAGCTGTACCCCAATGCACTGGGCTGGTGGGGAAATCCATGCTCTACAGTCTGGTAGAAAAAGAAAACATAATTAAGAATGTTTCATGGTCACGTGTATGAGATGTGACCAGATGCTAAAAATCAGATGTCACTTGATAGTATGAAACACAGCCTTTTTTAAGAACAATATATTTTAAACCAGAAGATGGTCAGACTGAACTATCTTAGCTCAGCTTTGCTCCATCAAACCTGCTTATCAAGATCCCCTTGCTGTTCAGCACAGATATGCAGAGGCTGAACAAAAAAGGGCAAAGCAACACTGCAAAACAAGGACCTAACTGGACTTTCCAAGCTTTACAAACTCCCTATATGCACAGAGTCCTTAGACTCTCCACATTGCACACAACCAACCCTCTCAGCACCACTACTTCCTGTGAGATGCATTTGCTTATGTCACAAATCATATGCTGAACCCCTCTGAAGTTCCTGCTTAAAACTGGGTAGCAATGACAACTCTATTTTCAAAGAATTTGGCCTTGGAATAAACCAGCCTGCTTAAGATCCTCTTGTACAGCAACCTTATGGGAAGTGCCCGTAGTGGACTAGCTGTACTGTCGAAGGAACATGACTAGATTTGCTACACGGGCAGCGGGGAAACCTAGTAGACTTGGTTACCAATTCCCAGATGTGGCACAGGCACAGCAGATTTTATTGCTATTTAGGAGCCTGTCAAGCCATATCAGCCCATCTCAAGAGGACTCATAAGCAGATGTCAACCATTATACATAGGAAGAACAGCACAAACAGCAGCTCGTTTAGCTTTCGACTCCCATGTAATAAAATACATGCCTACGCCAAGAACAAAAAATTTAGCGTGGCTGATGTTTACTATCTAGCCACATAATCTTCAGTAAGGTTACTGAATGCATCTCACCTATAAAGAGCGTTTACATGGTAACCAGTCTTAATAGTGCAGTCTGCAACCAGGGCATGAGCAGAGTGGTTTGAAAAACAGCTCAGAATAGACTCTGAAGTTCCTGTAGTCACTTGTTGGTCTTCAACTTGGGGGGTGGGGGGGTGGAAAGAGAGAGACAGCGAAGGAGCGAAAGAGCACTGGCCAGGAAATTAAGGCTCTACGATCAACCAGGGTGATGCTGAGCAGCTAGAGAACAGGAAGTTATTTCTAGCCAGGCTGAGAGGGAAAGTCCGAAAGAGTGGGCACCTTAAAATTCAGTCAAGCAAATTTTTGAAGGCTGGCTGTACCTTAAAAAGAGGTCTGCTAGCAGAGCCAAAGCATTTGCAAGTGGTAGGAGTGGGGAAAAAGGGCAGGAAAGACACTTGTATGAAGACAAACACACTAAAATAGCCCCGATTCTGACAAAAGTCCTTTGCTGATCTAGTTTATTTTGTTCTAGGCTGGCAAACTGTTCCAAACACCGAGTCACTCTACTTCTGCTAATACGTGGAGCTAAACCACGCATCTGCCTTTCATGCCTCTGTTTTCTCACTACTTGAACATTTTGGGCGTTCCAGTATTTCGCCCTACTCCACCACCCACTCTTCCCACAGCAACGACGGGGTGTCTCTTCTGCAGAGATTTTCCTTCTTCTTGGGCTGGTTCTAGTGTTGAGGGGTTCCTCTGCTACAAAAGCATGCTCCTTTCTTTGCCCTTGCTCAAGTTTCTTTCGTCTGCCTGAGCTGCCTCCCACTCAGCACCCCAGTGTGGTCGCATTGCAGGGGTCTCAAAACCTGAGCTCTGCTCTCCAGTCTGGAGATTTAGCTCTCCCCATTCCCCGGCCATCTCATGTATGATGCAGTCATTCTACAGTCCTAAAGCAGCACCTGTTTAAATGGGAACCACTGAGGTTTAACATCTACCCCCTGCTACTGTTCAGCATATGACAACACAGAGTATAGCTCACTCCACATGACCAGCTGAATCACTGCCTGCCGCGGTTCCCTCGAGTCAACCCACGTTCATAAAAACTGTACATAGACAATCCTGCAAGTCATCAGTTTTCCTTATTTGAGAAGCTCACAATCAGAGGACAATAAGCCACTGAAACAAGAGACAGGAAAAGGCAATAGTCAAAATCCCAGACTTAGACTCGGAGGGTGTGCTGTTAACGAAAACCAATGTTAACCTTTTCATATCTACTAGATAGTAACCCTTTAAAGAGTGGACATGTATTCTCTTTGGGACCACTCAGATTCTGCATCTTCTGCACTACAAAAAGAGAAGAGAAAACAGTTCAAGATGGTCCCTGAATGACACACGTCTAGTCTGTACACATTCAACTTAGTCTAGAGACAGGTTGCTAATGCCACATGTAAGGTCATGGCATAGGATGTCCAGTGCATGTGTGGGTTAACTACCTCTAGTTCAGCAAACTGTAGTTAAGACATGATCCTAACCGACAGACTTTGCTAAACATCGTCAATAGAAAATGAACAGAGAAATGATATAAAAACCTCAAACTTCTAAAAAGGTGAGAGACTGAGGCACTGACTCCCAATCTACGTTCCCTCTTCAAGACAGAGGAGTTATGCAGTTTTCCATGGCACAACATTAACCCGAGTGAGAGAGTTTCTCTGCACTGTACGATTGGGAATGCACCACCAGCAAGAGAAAGGTTGAAAACACAGTACAAGAATATTTCTAGCCTACTATAAAAGAACATGAGAGAGTTTTCCACAGATTAGATTAGCCGTAGGAAAAAAGGTAGTTTCCATTATGGAGCTACCTGCCTTAACAACGAACTAAGACACCAGCATAGATAATAAAACCCCAAGTCATACTCTACAAGGCCCCATAGTGCAGAGATAACGTGGAGCTCTGACAGGTGCCTAAGGATTATTTTTGTACATTTGGATGACACTTGTGTGCCAATGAAGTTGTTTTGAATTGAACAGCAGTTGAGACAAAACCCTGAAGGATTTTCCAGTCTGCAAGATTACTTCATGGCTCAGCCATTAAATGCTAGCAAAGGCAACAGTCCCTTCAATACTACATCATATAAAAACAGAATGCTGATAAGACAGGCCTTTGAACTGACCTAATTTGAGCTCATTTTAAATGTGCTATTCTGACCTGTCTCGCCTATTTAAGCTGAAACTATTTTAAATAAATAGTGCAATAAGACAGGACCAGGAGCAAGGGCACCAAACTGCAGCAGAAGCGTAGTTTGGAGATTAAGAACTTTCTGACTCCAAGGGTGGTCAAGCACTGAAACAGGCTACCTAGAGAAGTTGTGCAATCTCCATCCTGCATGTTTTCAACAGCGAGCTAGACAGACACTTGGCTGGGACAGCGTAGTCAGGGATGATCCTGCCTTGAGCAGGGGGCTGGACTGGATGACCTCCTGAGGTCCTTTCCCAGCCCTGTGTTCCTAGGATCCTAATTGAAGAGCTGCAGGATATGGGAAAACAAGAAAGTGTGGGTGTGTGTGTGCGCATGTGCACATTCATCAGTTTTAGTACCACTATCATCCTAGATTATTTAAAGAAAGGAGACTCTACAAAACAGTATGGATTTACATGACAGGAGGGGAGAATTTAAAACAATCACCATCACAAGCCAAAAAGGAATTTTTTGGAGGGGAGGGAAAGAAGCAGTTTGCTGGAGCTGCCAGGAAAAGAATGTATGCAACTGAGTAAGAGCAAAGGGGGAAAGTCTGGCAGTGAAGGTCTCAGCCTACTACAGGACCAGATTTTGCTTAGTAACCGCTGGGGGGTGGGGGTGGAAAAATCAAATCAAATTTGGAATACTGATGAGAGTCCCTAACATTGCTTTCTACCAACCCGGAATTGCTTGCTTCAGTTAAACAGCCACAGGGAAAAAGAGAAGCACTGCTCCATCCTAACGAAGGCTGACTCAGTCCCTTACGATCTGTAGGGGTGTTGAGCATTTGACAATGCTTCTTTCAGTTTAAGGCGATTTGATTCCTTCAAACGTGGTCTCTCAAGATAGTGACTTTTCTAAAATTCTCATTTAAATCCATAACCTGTAACAACAAAGAACCTAGATACCAAACCCCAGACACTCCACTACATGACTTAGGTCACTCTGGGATCCTTGGAGTCAGTTTTGCACATGATTCAAGGGAGTTTTTCCTATTTACCACCTCTTTTAAAAAAAAGTCTTCACTTGAAGCCAAGTACAGGAACATTTGGCCACAACTCAGAGCATGCAGTTTCTGCTATGGCAGATAAGCACATGCAGAGAAAAACAGACTACTACAGAAATGAATCTACTCCTATTAGTAGCACACTAGAGACCAGTATTCAATGCATTTCCTCTGGATTTCTGACACTTTAGGGTCAGTATAAGCCGTCACCAGGCACATAAGCAATTCAAACTATTAAAATAAGGCACTCACGTTAGTTATAAAAAGGCATGAAAGCAATTAGTGTCCTCCTGTAGCCGAGCCACAGTTCTTGGCTCCACATAGTCTAGAAATCAGTTTTATACTTTCCCCCGATTTCTACCCATGTAGAAAAGGCTTAAGAGTGCTATAAGTGTGGTTCTTCAAAAAAAAAAAAAAAAAAAAGCAATAGGATCATCTGTCATGCTTAATATTAGCTCCCAGGAGTCCAGAGTTCAAATAAAACCTGGGGAAAACCATCAGCATATCACTTTGGGCAGTTTCTAAATGCAGATTACTTAAAATGGAGCTCAAAGGCCAAGGGCAAAGAAATGTGGGAAACTCCCCATCTCCATCCCCAGGTAGGGATACAAAAGCCTCAGAGCATTTCAAGGCCCTGGCTTATCCTGCCCCATGACCATGAACTGCAAAACAGTTGGCTGCAGGGTTTGAGATTTAAAAACAAAAAACACACACACACACACACACACACACACACACACACACACACACACACACACACACACACACACACACACACACACACACACACACACACACACACACACACACACACACACACACACACACACACACACACACACACACACACACACACACACACACACACACACACACACACACACACACACACACACACACACACACACACACACACACACACACACACACACACACACACAC